GCAAAAAAAAAAAAAAAAAACTTGTGATTGATCTTCCGGACTTTGATACTCAGATGAAGACAGTAACAGTCTGCTTTTTTGACAGTACGGAAGATAGACTTTAGTTGTTGCTTCGCTGGCTGTTCGAGAAAGTTTAGAACTGAGAATACAGCAGATGGTGCCTGCTTCTGATTAGAAAATGCTGTATATTGTACACAACAATTGGATAACGCTTTTTTAATGCAGTAATTTGACGGGTGGATCATCAAGTGCTCTTTGTTTCCAACTTCACTTTTACAGTCATAAGAATAGCTGTTTTCGTAGATTTCTTTTACTGTCGGATTACCCTTCGTTTTTTCCTTATGAAAATTATTACGTTATCTGTGTATCAGATATAACTAGCTAAATATAATCTCTTTCTGTTTCAATTAATCTTCTTTTCTATTTTTTTTTTTTCGATGCAATCCATAACAGTATTACAGCAACGGCAAAGTCAGCGGCAACAACAGTGTATTGGCCTATAAACAAACTGCTCTGTTTAATTGTTTTTTTTTTTTCTTTCGTTATTGTACCAATTTTATTTTGGCACAACAGCAACGGTATGTGAAAATTTTTTGATGGTTTTTGTTAATGAATAATTATGAAGTTATTGTGTGGTGAAGATAAAATTCCAGGGCTTCAATCTGTGTTCAATTTAGAAATTAAAAATTTGATAAGCCTAATCAGTACTTTTGTATATGGCAGATACTAGGCTCTATATAATATCTGCTGATATTTGTTCAATTTACTTTAACACAGCCATTGCTTAAGTGTTTATTCTCTTTAATTTGCTTCACAATTTTTTGCAAATTTTTTGATGAATTATAAAGTTTTCAAATCGCATTGATCGTAACATTTAGTTGAATTTGGTTTGGCAAAGTTTAAACAGTTATTTTTTTTGTTGTGCATATGTCTTTTACACTTTTATTTATTTATTTATTTATTTGTTCACTTTATTTTGTTTTTGCAAATTGCAAATTGCAAAAAAAAAAAACTTTTTTTGCAATATTTTATGGTAAATTACTGCAAACAGTTGTTTTCGTCATTATTGTCAGTGCACTTAGTTGGGTAAACAAATCAAAGTCCAATAAACAAAGTTTAAAATTGTTCTCCTCCTCTCCGCGCAGAAAAAGTGGTTTTTGGAACTTTTAATTGTACTAATATAAAGTTTTTAAACTTTTTTTTTTTTGCTTGTTTGGTACAAGCGTAGTTTTGAAATATAAAACTGTAAAAAAAAGTGTATGTGGTTATTTAGTAGCG